TATATAGGAGTATTATACTGCCAAATTTTGTACCAATTCAAGTCCATTTCGATACCTAACTAAAGTCCCAAAGTTGGAAGCTCAAATCTGGAAATTTGTTCACCAGTTTTGAATTTTCCCTAACTTTGAGCCACCGTATCTCGGTGCTCGAAACTCCGATCTTTGATCCGCTTTTTCTGTTATAAACCTTACTTGCAACTCTAATTGAGTTACAAATTTCAGAGGCTAGCTCGCAATGTGTGAATTTTACCGAATTTCCAAAGTTAGCGAAAAATCAACCCCGGCTCAATTCTGAGTGTTCTGGAACAGAAACTTTAAACCCATTTTTGAATACCTTCCACTTAAATTCATGGAAAAGTGTCTTCTAATAACTTTTAGTACTTTCAAAGAGGTTTCCAACGGTATCAAGTTTTCCAATTTTTGACATGTAGAATGTGAGATACGATTTTTCAAAATATCGTATCAAAACTAAAAATTTTCCGAATTCAAAAGGAAGGGAGTTTTCAAGCACTCCTTATTCCTTCGTATTACTTGAACGTGTTATACTTGATTTTCCAAAATGAAAACTCGATTGCTCTTGTACTTTAAGAAACTCTAATTGAACCTCAATTTACGAGTAATTGAGGTTCGATTTCATGAAATTTTCTTAGATTGTACTAGTGTACAATCTTCCTTGATAATTGGGATATATAAGTGATGCTTCACTATTATTTGCTCAGGCGCACACGAGGACCCTCAAGAGGATCCCACGGTGGACGCTTAAACTTCGAGTGCTCTTTTCTTCTCGTTTTACTTGGTGAGTGTCAAGTGTGTGTTACTTGAACTCCTGTGAATTCGATACGTGATTACTTGTTATTGATACTTGAGATTTTGGGAAATGGAGTCGAGTGTGTACTTTATCGCACTCGTTCTCATTCGAAATGATTTAACTTATGCTCAAATTGCTTGAATATATCGATTGCTTGGATACATCGATTGCTTGTACATATTAATGCTTGATACATGATATGGTATACTATGACTGCATACGTCGTTGGAGTGAATCTCCTCGACACACAATTGCACATGGGGATGCCCACATCTCATTGGTCGACCTTGGATTCGAGTCGGCATGGGTTTGGTCGGAAACCTTGGCGAGCCATGAGATATATAAGCTTGACCTAATGAGAGGTCTTGCTTGGCATGCTCGAGTAGTATCGCCACAAACAAATGACAGGCGGGCCCGATACAAGGGTATGTAAGGTGAAAGGGGACAGGTTAAGTGGAGTTCTACGGACAAAACCTACCCGATTGACGGAGTGTCAATTCGTGGAGGTTATTGATCGTGCAAGTGGAATATAGCTCCTGAGAGCTCCTATATCCTTGAATTGTTTCCGTTTACTTTCCGGTAAATTGTTAATTATTGAAACATATTATTGCTTGACTTGTATTTGGGATTGTTAATTGAACTACGTGCTTGCATGTGTGTCTTTGGCCTCACGAGCGTTTTGCTCACCCTGTAGATTTGTTTTCCTTAATAGGATTGAACTCGGAGATGTATTGGAGAAACCCTCCTGGTGTACTTTTGTTTAGGGTTTCTATTATATTTCTGGCTATGCCTAGGTTTTGGGTTGTACTCTTGGAATTGAAATGTAACTTTTGGGGCGTGATGTATATTTGGAATTCTTGATGTACTTTGAACACCCGACGTACGGGTTGGATAATGGATGACTATTGTTAAACTTGAACGCTTCCACATTTACTGTATTTAAGTTATTTACGTGTGTTGTGTAGATCGATAATAAGCTTGAATGAAATTGCTTGAGTCCTGGCGAGAGCTAGGCAGGTGTCCCGCGAATACCCTTTGGTGCACCTTAAGGAGAAGTGGGGGCGTCACAAATAGGATTTAGTAATTTGCGTGGTCTATATAAAGACCTTATGTTTCGTTCGTCTTGAGAAAGAAAAAGTTGTCAGAAAGTTTCTTAACAATTAGTACCAAAACAATTAGTTTCCTAAACAACTAAAAGTAATACTAAAAGACTTGGTTTAGAATTCCTACCCTAAAAACAATATACTCTCTCCGTTCCATAAAATTTGCTGTTTTTGGGAGAACAAGCAATTTATATATAGTGATACTAGTGGAAAAGAGAATTTTTACTTTTCTTTTATATCTTAGAGACAGGCCATTTTTCATTTGATATATTGATAATTGTGGGGAATAAGTGATGAGACACATGAAGGATATAAAATTTTATTGAAAAAAGTGAGTTGACTTTCTAATATTACAATTAATTTGGGATAACAAAAACTGACAAATTTTACGAGACGGACGCAGTATGCATATACCATACTAGTATCTTCAAATGACAGTGATTTGGTAGCTCCGTGTGTTCAGTGGCCATGTATGTCAGGTACACTTTTCTCGTAATTGTTGTTGTGTGACAGCACCACCTCACCCTAAGGCGAATCAAAGAGGTCGGTGAACCGCCTACCCAACTCTTGTCAAGACTCACTCACTCAAACTTCAAGACAATAAACGGATAGCATTTCCCCTTAATTTCTTCACTTTCCATCATACAATCAAACACCAAATCTCATCCCAATTCAACCACAATTTCACATACAAATCATAGGTGATAAAATACACCTTTCGGTATAACAATCACAACTGAAACTACACTTATCGGATTGAAACGAATCTTATGGCGTTTCGAAACCAAGACACATACCTACATTCCTTATGGAGACCTCCAAAGCCAAATCATGTATTTTCATGGTCAAAAATCGAAATCTCAGAGAGAACAGAAAACTGTCTGTGAAACAAGGCTTGTGGGCAGTCAAGGGTATTTCAATCATTTCACAAACTACAGTGCTCCGATTGAGCTGAAATTTTACTAGTAGCTAGATGACTCAAATATCAACAACCTTCATGTTTTGAGCAAGGGCTTATTCGGTCTCTCTCAAGGACGAATACACAGCACAAAAACAGAGCAGATTAGAAACCCTAAAACTGAAATTTAACATAACTCTAGCTCAAACCATGAAATCTTTCACAAAACAACATCTATAACAACTATAAGCCACTAATTAGCAATTAATTGAAGTAAAGAGGAAGTTCTTGATAAAATACCTTGGAAACTCAAGAAAAATGGTAGCTTAGTATCTTTCCTCCCACAATCACTCCACCAACTCCTTTAAACTTCCTAGTTGAGCACTTGTATGGTGTAGTTTCCAATTTAGTTGGCTAGAACCCAAGATTTGAGTAAGTTTGGAAGCTAAAATTGAAGAACTCTCTCTTGTTTCTCTCCTCAAGTGATTCGGCCAAGAAGCAAGAAAGATGAAGGAATTTTTAGTCAAAATTTGATTTTAGAAAAGTTAAATAAACTTGGTCAAAAGTCCAACATCCAATGAGGTAGTGACATTTGGCCTTTCTAGTGTTTAAAGCTTATTTTCTTTCTTCCAATGGTTAATCCATCTAGCTAATCTTTAATCATCTCTTAGCACCTTGTAAAATAATAACACTTAATCACCAAAATTTTATCGCACTAACGAGTCCCGTATCTATAACGCGTTTCAAATTTAACGTACACTAACTTATACTAGGAAAATGATTTAAAACTGTACTTGCTTATAAAAATGCATAGAAACTTTAATATTTTGAAGGCAAGTATAAAAATGTAAGCAAAAAAAAAATAATGCCTAGAAAATGTGAAAATTTTCGGGTTCTCACACTCTCTCCCCCTTAAGAAATTTCGTCCTCGAAATTTTTACCTTCAGATGACTCAGGAACTTGTTGGTTGTCTAAGACATGTACCTTTGCCAGTACTTTTGTTTGATTCCTTCTTTCATTCACTTGTTTCGGTTTGGTTCCATCCAGTGGTTGAGCACTATTCCCCCTGGACTGCTTCATCGGGCAACTACTAATTTGGTGATCGCTACTTCCACAAATCAAACATTTTCGCCCTTTCCTCCAACACTCATTCTCAGTATGATTTGCCTTTCTACAATATCCACAGACCAAGTGAGAAGCCAATTTTTGGCTTTCTTGAGAAATTTTCCCATGACCTATTTGATTTTCTTTGGTAGATCTTTCATCTAGTGCTCCTAATGTCCATGATGGGTAGGGTGAAGGGTTCACTTTTTGTACTTTAGAAGGTGCTATCTTTTTGCTAGATTCGTCAGATGCATTACCAGATGCACCCCTTTTCCGTGTTTGGAAGGTTTTTACCTATGCCTTTTCATCCTCAATCCTTTGGGCTTTCTCAAGGGCTTCCGTAAAGATATTAACCTGAACCGCCGCTAAATCTTCCTGGATTTTCAAATTCAATCCTTGTATGAACGTCTCACTCTTCTCCGCTCCGTGGCCACCAATTCAGAAGCAAACTTGGACAGTTTAGTAAATTTAGTCTCATATTCGGTCACACTCTGGGTTCCCTGACGTAACCCAATAAACTCATCCTCTCTCCTTTCTTGGACTAAAGGTGGGAAATACTTCTCGTTAAATTCCCTCACAAAGTTCGCCCACATCCATACCGTCTGTTCTCTTTTCCACTCGGCCTTAATTACATTCCACCACGCTCGGACCAGTCCTTCGAACTAAAACACAGCAAAGTTCACTTGTCTTTGCTCCGTTTAGTTCAAAACCTCGAAGATGTTAATTATTGCCTCCAACCACTCTTCAGCTATATCCGAATTAGGCCCTCCGTGAAATTTCGGAGGTAGAAACTTTTGAAATCACTCAAGAGGCCTATCCTCTCCTATCTCAAGATTCCGGGGTTGATTAACTAGCATTTAGCCTTGTTGATCTATCAGTCGTGCTAGGATATTTGTCATTTGTTATATCGCCGTCGCCATTTGATCTTCTGCCTCAACCCTCAATCCATGTTCTTACTCGACCACTATTTCTCTTTCTTCTCTTGGTTTTTGAGCTCGTTTAGCCCCACGGCCACGACCACGTCAGCGACTACCTCTCCCGTCCATACTCTTTTCTCTTTTCTTTTTCCTTTCATTTTTTTTTCCAAAAGGTGATTTAATATATAACGAAGTAAATTGACTAAAATAACAAGATATAACACATCAAATACACAAGGAGACATATACACAATATAACGCACCATACACACAAAGAGACATTTCAAGTTCGATAAATAGTCAAAGGCAGCAAGTACTATACATGTACGTATTAACATACCACAGACAAAAGACATATAGGAACAATGCAAGGGCAAAACGACAGAAAATGTGTGGCGCCCCTACTTCTCCCTAAGGCGAACCAGAGGGTTTCTGCGGGACGTCTACCCAACTCTCGCCAGGACTCAAGCAGCATCCATTCAAGTTTAAAGCAAAACCATTCAATAACACTAGATAAGTAAGAAAGTGCGGAAACTTCCAAACTTAATAATATACATAACGCTTATCCAATCATTACATTAAATTCTCAAAAAGTACATCAATACCCAAAATATACTACATCCGGGTACATCAAATATTCAAACCATATATTAGGTTTCCGAAGTACAACCAGTAAGAGGTCTAGCTCAAAATATATTAAAACCCTAAGCCAGAAGTGTATCAAAAGAGTTCCTCCAAGTACCATTCCATGCCAAATCCTGTTAAGGAAAACAAATCTACAGGGTGAGCAAAACGCTCGTGAGGCCAAGGACACACATGCAATCACATAGTCCAAATAACAAGCCCAATTAACAGGTCAAATAATAAAATACAAGTAATTGCCAATTCAAATGGAATGTAACCAGAAACAATTCAAGGATATGGTAGCTCTCAGGAGCTAAGTTCCACTTGCATTGCCAGGGTCATTCGTATACCTTCCCGCGATGACTCTCCGTCAACCGGGTTGGTATTTCCAATTCGTAGTTCTCCACTTACTTCCCTCCATCCATCATTTCACCCCCTCGGATCCGTAACCAACAGGCATGTAAAGGCGATACTATACCAGTATGCCAAGCAAGATCTCAAAAGATCAAGCTTCAGGTCCCAAGATTTATCAAGTTTTCCCGACCAAGACCTCACAATTGGCTGCGAGATTACTCGGTATAACCATTGGGTTTTGGGCGTCCCCACAGGTCAGGTTTTCAAAACAAATCAAGTTTTAGTCGATGGGATTTTCTCTGCATTCGACTTTTGGTCATGTACATGTAAAATCCATCAATTTCATGTAATTCATGTAGCAAGTCATGTATTGATCCAAGTAAAGGAGATAAAGTGCGGTAAAATACACACTTTCCCCAACAAGTACAGTTCAAATAACAACAGGTTCAAGTAGAGTTCATGTAGGCAGCAAATCTCAAGCGAAGTGCAAGTAAACATGCACTTGACACTCACCCAGTCAATCAAGGAGAAATGTTACTTGAAATTCAAGCGTCTACCGTAGGATCCTCTTGAAGGTTCTCATGCGAGCCTGAGCAATTAATAGTGAAAATCACTTAGAAACCCCATTTATCAAGGAAGTTTGCACCCTTGTGCAATTCTAGAAAATTTTACTAAAAATGAGCCTAAATTACTCACAAATTAAGGCTCAAATGTGGAGTTTTAAAGTGCAAGAGAAATCAAGTTTTCATCTTTAAAATCAAGTATAAAACGTTCAGGTAATATCAAAGGAATAAGGAGTACTTTTAAAAACTCCATTTCCTTGGAATTTTGAAAAATTTCAGTTTTGATATGATACATTAGAAAAATCGTATCTCACATTTTACAAGTCAAAAATTGAAAAACTTGGTACCGTTGGAAACCTCTTCCAAGGTACTAAAAGTTTCTAGAATACATGTTTCTAAGATTCCAAATGGAAAACATTCAAAAATAAGCTCAAATTTTCTGTTTTGGTTTCTAAGGCAATTTAGGTTGGTTTTTGGCCAACTTTGAAAATTTGGTAAAATTCACTTGATTGGAACTAACTCTTGAAATTTGGAATTCTTTTAGAGTCACAATCCAAGTTTACAACAAAACAAGCGGAATGGGAAACGGAGTTTTGAGTACTAAGATATGGCAACTCAAAGTTACCAAAATTTCCTTGTGAAACATGGGTTTTTCAAACTCAAGTCATGAACTTTGGTAATTTATTTGAACCATGAAACGGCCTCGAAATAACACCATAATTAGCAGTATAATACTACCATATAAGGGTTGTCCCTCTACCAAATTTCATGGAGAAATAACTTCGGAATGGTCGTCAACCAAACAACCAAAGTTTCGAAAATCCTAAGGCAAAACTGTCTTGAGCTTTTGTTTTCCATTCCAACCATTTGGCCAAGGAAAATCCTTCAAACATGGTTCATTTGTATAGGAAAAGCCTAAGGAACATTCATGGTACATTTGATAGATGTTTTAACTCCAAAAACTCAATTGGCAAGTCCATACCAAGTCTACCATTAATTCTGTCCAAGATTAAGGGTTTTCAAAGACAGAGCAGGTTTCGTATTTTTATCACAAATCACACAATTCAACTCAGAATTGAGCATGGTTGGTGGCGTTGGAAAATAAATTCATAAATCTATAATTTCACAGAAGAAATCATTTTGAAATTCAGCACACAACTAGCTCAAATTCGAGCCTGAAGTTGTAGCTTCTGAACTTCGTTCTAGGAAAACAGAGAAACAGGACAGTCATCTTTAAACGGTTGGTACGGGGTACTCGGGTGGAATTAGCGGTTGAATTTTATACCAAATGAAAGCTGGGAATGTCTAGTTTCCAGTGCCACAAACGGCACTCGATTCCGACATCGGAGCGATGAATTATAGCCGAAACAAACTGGCTGTCTAGTAGTGACGGGAATCATTTTCCAGTTTTGGCAGATTCTAAAACTCAACATGCACTCACTCAAATCACGTAAAATTTTGAGGAAACCTTAAACACAACCTATATTTCATATTTTCATCAGAATCAAGTCAATTGGACTTCAAGAAAATACACTAAAATGCATGAAATTAGCAGGGCAGAATCGGCAACATCACATGCAGCTCCTCATTTGATTTCCTTTTCATTTTTGCCACTTAATTCTACTAAATTAGCACTTAATCAACACAATCAGCATCCAATCCTTGCTAATCAGATCATCCAAGTCATTGTGGGATTTCATAGAGCCCACTCACCAATTTCTCAACAATTTAAAGCTGCCCATGAGAATTCAAGAGCTCATGAGTGTAATTTAGCTTCCATAAACCAAGAATTAAGTAGTGGATCATTACTTACTTTCTTAGAGAGCCAAGACAGAGATTTTCGGTCACTTTGAGCTGGAGAAAAACCGTGTGAGTTAGCTCTATTCCTAGCTTATCTTGATCATCAAATGATTTGAGGGTTGCATGTGAAATTTGGAGGAAATTGAGCAAGGAATTGAGGAGAGAGGGTGGAGGAATTTTCTGGTTTAGCTCTCCCTTGGCTGCTCGGCTGTTTGTGCGTAGGAGAGGAATGAAATGCAGATGATATGAGCTTCTAATGGTAAGCTTATACGTGTGGCTCAATTGCACTTAAGCTGTCCACTAACTTAGTGCACATCCGCGTGCGTTTCGGCTCGATTCCTCGCGAGTTTATTGCACTAGTGCACTAAACCTCTAATGCACTTGCATTCATATTATTATTATTCACTCTTAATAGTCCCAAAATAATGGCCTACGGTTCCTCAATTACTTGCTTGCGTAAAACGTGTATTTCCAATTTAAGCGCGAGATAGTGAAATTTCTAAGAAGTTCTTATGACGGTAATATAACTAATTAACCTTTGAACACTTAAATGTAAAAATACCTATTTTGAGACTAATGTTTAAGTCTCCAATTTTTCAAACTTATTGTATTTCCAAATCAGCTAAAATCCCCAATCGCATAATCACTATTTTCATTTAACGAGCTTCCAAAAATTAAATTTTGACACAAGTCGCTTTAAAAATATAACGAAACTATAGACCCATGTAATTAGGTCTAAAGAGGTTAGAAAATAATATTCAGAATAAATGGGCAATTAAATATTCAAATGAGCTCGAAATAGGAATTTAAAATAATAAATTTTGCGAGTCCTCACAGGAGTCTAGTATTAATTCCTCGATTAACCTTTCTTAATCTACTATTGATCATTTTTAATTCTCCAATATTAATACACTCCTGATTCAAGTATAGCCTCGAAAACCTGTACTTGTTATTCCGAACTAAACGAATTTTTGAAAAGTGAATTTTCCAACAAAACGTTTTAAAATATAAAAGAGGCGTTGTTCCATATAAATGGATTTTTAAATGGTCGAAATGAATAATTCGGAGAAAATGAGTAAAAAAATATTTAAGTAAACTTGTAATATCCGATAAATAAGAAAATTTTTTGGTCCTCACAAAACGCGACTTGTCATCCCACACTCAGTTAAAATCACCCCTGTCCGGTTTCTTACTTCACTTTCTATCTGAGTTAGGCGCCCGTTGATCTCGTGTACTCACTCTAGCCAAATATTAGCCCGTTCATGTTCCCAAAAATGAAAATCTCAAATACTTAGTATCGCCCTCAACTCTGGAGTACTCAGGTGCAAGAATCCGAAATAAAATAATTCACATCTCGAGCTGACCAGTCCCAAGAGTAAATTACCTACAATCGAGATTCCTACCTGACGTACATATCTATTGTCCTCAAATATCATGATAACGATTTAAGGACTATAACAATTCATGATTCATAACTTATACTCAAAAAAGCATTTAATCATTCATACTTATTCATAAAATCAGGACCATAACACCACTTGGTCCAAGCTCACTCCGCGCAGAGACCACGTAAAGTGGCTCTGATACCACCTGTGACAGCCCCATCTCACCCTAAGGCGAATCAAAGGGGTCGGCGGACCGCCTGCCCAACCCTCGCCAGGACTCACTCATTCAAACTTCAAGACAATAAACGGACAGCATTTCCCCTTAATTTCTTCACTTTCCATCCTACAATCAAATACCAAATCTCATCCCAATTCAACCACAATTTCACATACAAATCATAGGCGATAAAATACACCTTTCGGTATAACAACCACAACTAAAGCTACACTTATCGGATTGAAACTAATCTTATGGTGTTTCAAAGCCAAAACATATATCTACATTCCTTATGAAGACCTCTAAAGCCAAATCATGCATTGTCATGGTCAAAAATCGAAATCTCAGAGAGGATAGAAAACTGTCCGTGAAACAAGGCTTGTGGGCAGTCAAGGGTATTTCGGTTATTTCACAAGGTACAGTGCTCCAATTCAGCTGAAATTTTACCAGTAGCTAGCTAACTCAAATACCAACAACTTTCATGTTTTGAGCAAGGGCTGATTCAGTCTCTCTCAAGGACGAATACACAGTTGAAAAACTGGGCAGATTAGAAACCCTAAAACTGAAATTTAACATAACTCTATCGCAAACCATGAAATCTTCCACAAAACAACATCTATAACAACTATAAGCCACTAATTAGCAATTAATTGAAGTAAAGAGGAAGTTCTTGGCAAACTACCTTGGAAACTCAAGAAAAATGGTAGTTTAGTATCTTTCCTCCCACAATCACTCCACCAACTCCTTTAAACTTCCTAGTTGAGTACTTGTATGGTGTAGTTTCCAATTTAGTTGGCTAGAACTCAAAATTTGAGTAAGTTTGGAAGCTAAAATTGAAGAACTCTCTCTTGTTTCTCTCCTCAAGTGGTTCGGCCAAGAAACAAGAAAAATGAAGGAATTTTTTGTCAAAATTTGATTTTAGGAAAGTTAAATAAGCTTGGTCAAAAGTCCAACATCCAATGAGGTAGTGACACTTGGCCTTTCTAGTGTTTAAAGCTTATTTTCTTTCTTCCAATGGTTAATCCATCTAGTTAACCTCTAATCATCTCCTAGCACCTTGTAAAATAATAACACTTAGCACAAAAATCACTTAATCACCAAAATTTTATCGCACTAGCGGGTCCCACGTCTATAACGCATCTCAAATTTAACGTATACTAACTTATACTAGAAAAATGATTTAAAACTGTACTTGCTTATAAAAATGCATAGAAACTTTAATATTTTAAAGACAAGTATAAAAATGTAGGCAAAAATAAAATAATGCCTAGAAAATGTAAAAATTTTCGGGTTCTCACATGTTGTAACGCAGTATTGTGTATTGGGAGCAAGAGATGACAACGTATTCTAGGGTGTAATGTGCATGTTTTTACTGTGAAAGAAAACCAAGAGGTGAGATGAATGATGGCCAAAGTGGTTTTAAAGTAGTGTTCAGTTTTTGTGTGTACCAGTAGTTTGTATATTTTGTGCTCGACATGGGGATTAAGGAGGTAAAGAGGGAGTGAAGCATCTGTTGGCGTGTAGTGTAAACTGTAAACTTAAGTTGAGACGAGAAAGTGAAGAGCTAAGAAAGACATAGAGACTAAAATGTATGACTGTGTTTGGGGACGGACCCATGGGTGTGTGATTTATGGCTGCAGTAAGAGCAGCCTGTGTTTCTGTGAGGAGACACAGGATTTTTGTTCGAGAAAAGGCACAAGGTATGTGAGGTGAAAATTTTAGAGGGTACACGAGGATGATGTTGGATAATCATGGGGAATTTGTGTAGGATCGGTACTTCTACATTCTAGCAGTGTATACAATGGTGGATTCGGATGAATGACAATTAATCTCACTTTGAACTTGAAATCCAAGTTTTGCATACGTGCCATACATCCAGTCTATAGCATACACTCTCCGTATAGGAAAAATAAATCCCCTTCTTGTTGTCTTTGCTTTCTTTTCTAAATTTGGGCACCAATAATGGCATCTGGGGTTCATGCGAACAATTTATAAGTTTGTTCACAAAATGAAAATAGAAAACCTCTGTAGTAGCTTCAATATGACAATTAGCTCTGGACTTCTCTGACTCCAGCGCTTGTGTTCTGTGGTAGTGTTTTAGGCTAAGCTTTGCGTGTGGGCTGTAGTACAGAAGTGACACGTGCTAGTATGCGCCTGTTTAGGCCGAGAGTTGGGAGAAAGAGAGAGCAATTAATGTGTGCTGGTCTGTGATGAAGTGTGCAGTTTTTTAGTGTAATAGTAAAGTGTAGTGTGAGAGCTAGGAGAGGGGATTAGGAAGGAAAAGAGTGAGCGAAGTGTGTGTTTGGGTGTAGTGTAAAGTGACTATAGAGGGGATTTGCAAGGAGCCTGCCTGTTTTCTTTACATAGAACAAGAAATTATGATAAGGAGACTCTTTACATATGCTTTTACCACCATTAGACAGAGAATACTTGGCTTGAGCATTCGTTACATGTTCCCAATTTGAGAAACATTTGGAACTCAGATCGACTGGGCCTTACCTGTCTTATTACATTCCATTCCATTCTATCTCACGCAATCTCTCTTTTTATTTTTTTTTTATTTCCAGAGCTTTTGATTTCAAGATAGATATCATGAACTCAAATGGAGATACTATTTGGGACCCCTTGTCCAGTTACTCCTGATTCTGAATATGGCTTCAAGAGTGTATATGGCACCAGTCCAGCTCCAAATCTGTTCTTCAGTTTCTCATCAGCATTTCTTTCATCAATAATTCCTTCGAGCTGCTTCAGTCGCCCGGCAAATTCTTCATATTTACCTTTTATGATGGGATCCTCTGCCCAAAATGGCTCTATCTGTCCTCCTAGATACTCCTCATCAGGGGAATGATTAGACAAAACGTCGAGGATTGCCATAACAGTTGTTGCTTGAACCTGCGATGGGAAGCAAGCCATCAGCTCAACCTCAGGTCGCACTAAGAACCTTTCCCACCTTTCATCGCTTGGCTCTTCGCAAGGCATAGTGACTCTAGCAGTAGTTGGCCTATTTGGAAAATATCCAGCAAAATCATATTGGCCAAAGTTTACAGCAGCATGGTGTCCTGAGGTAACCCATATGATAGTAGTTATGATTCCAACTAGATCATCAGGGGTTTTCAGCACAGGCCACCAGGGCTCATCTTTCTTATCTCCATGACCTATTGTTCGGATTTCCGTCCACCATGCTTGCAACTCATCATCAGATTGTATAGCTTTGGCATCACGATAGTAGTGATTCACATAATCTGCAACCCACTGTTTGAGGATATCCCAGAGGATCAATCCATCATTGGCAAAAGGATAATCTTCAATTGCTAGCTTCAAGCCATGTGGTGCACTTGGATCCTCCACAGCCATTCCTCTGTAGACACCAACCAAATTTGATCATTAACGATTGGAACGATGGAAAATGAAAGTTTTTGGTAAAGGACAAGAAAGGATATCATCGATGAAACATAAAATCTTAAAGTAACCAAAGCTTGTATTATCAATTTTGTTTCAAAAGACATACGAGCAGTGCAGTGTAAAGGGAGGACTATACCTAAATTAAAGCAGTTCTCGGCTGCATTTAATATGAGAATTCATATTGTGAGTCTAATCAACATTAGTGAAAGTTTAAAGAGTTGTAAGATGATTT